ATTAGCCTATCCTGCACACCCACAGGGTGGTTATTAGGGCTTGGCAAATATTGAGTTCCTGTCCGGCTGGATTAACCTATCTGGCCGTACGATCTTCCGACCGCAGGAGGGAGGGAGGGAGGGGAGGTCCTATTCTACTCTGGCTAAAGCTAAAGCCGGTGGCTAGGTAGGTGTTAACTACCTCGCCTGATGTGCAGGAGGTTGCTGGGTTCCATCCCCGACGCTGATGACGCCCGCTGCTGTATATTTGTGAGATTGCGGTGTCTCTCTCATCATCATCATCACCATCACGGTGGCTAGGAGATGTTAACTACCTCGCCTGGTGTGCAGGAGTTCGTGGGTTCGATCCCCAACCCTGACGATGCCTGCTGGATATTTTGGAGTTTGCGTGTCTCTCTCTCTCATCATCACGGTGGCTAGGAGATGTTAACTACCTCGTCTGGTATGCAGGAGGTCGTGGGTTCGTACCACGACCCTGATGACGCCTGCTGCTGCTGCTGTATATTTGGAGTTTGCGGTGTCTCTCTCTCTCTCTCGCTCTCCCCGTGGCCGCGTGGATTTTTCTCTAAGATCCTCCGGTTTTACCCTCCACATTTAGAATCAACGTCACGCGTTTAGAGTTATTTGGATATAAATGTCCACGTGACGATGATGATGATAAGCTGCCACTTGGTTGAGCTGCAATCATTTGTGATGTCCAGGGTCGCTTCTGACAAAACAGCTACGCAGCAGCTCAGCAGGGCCTTGCCTGGTAAAATAAAATAAGTTTACATTCTAATTGGTCTGTGAGTCTCGTCTCTGTGGGTCTCTATGCATCTCTGTGCATCTCTATGGGTATATTTGTGAGTCTATGGGTCTCTGTGCGAGTCTATGGGTCTCTGTGCGAGTCTACGGGTCTCTGTGCGAGCCTATGGGTCTCTGTGCGAGTCTATGGGTCTCTGTGTGAGTCTACGAGTCTCTGTGCGAGTCTATGGGTCTCTGTGTGAGTCTATGGGTCTCTGTGCGAGCCTATGGGTCTCTGTGCGAGTCTATGGGTCTCTGTGCGAGTCTATGGGTCTCTATGAATCTATGGGTCTCTGTGTGAGTCTACGAGTCTCTGTGCGAGTCTATGGGTCTCTGTGAGTCTATGGGTCTCTGTGCGAGTCTATGGGTCTCTGTGTGAGTCTATGGGTCTCTGTGTGAGTCTATGGATCCCTGTGTGAGTCTACGAGTCTCTGTGCGAGTCTATGGGTCTCTGTGTGAGTCTATGGGTCTCTGTGTGAGTCCACGAGTCTCTGTGAGAGTCTATGGGTCTCTGTGTGAGTCTATGGGTCTCTGTGTGAGTCTATGGGTCTCTGTGTGAGTCTATGGGTCTCTGTGCGAGTCTATGGATCCCTGTGTGAGTCTATGGGTCTCTGTGTGAGTCTATGGGTCTCTGTGTGAGTCTATGGGTCTCTGTGTGAGTCTATGGATCCCTGTGTGAGTCTATGGGTCCCTGCGTGAGTCTATGGGTCACTGTGTGAGTCTATGGGTCTCTGTGTGAGTCTACGGGTCTCTGTGTGAGTCTACGGGTCTCTGTGCGAGTCTATGGGTCTCTGCGTGAGTCTATGGGTCCCTGTGTGAGTCTATGGGTCTCTGTGTGAGTCTATGGGTCCCTGCGTGAGTCTATGGGTCACTGTGCGAGTCTATGGGTCTGTGTGAGTCTATGGATCCCTGTGCGAGTCTATGGGTCACTGTGCGAGTCTATGGGTCTCTGTGCGAGTCTATGGGTCTCTGTGTGAGTCTACGGGTCTCTGTGCGAGTCTATGGGTCTCTGTGCGAGTCTATGGGTCTCTGCGTGAGTCTATGGGTCCCTGCGCGAGTCTATGGATCCCTGTGCGAGTCTATGGATCCCTGTGCGAGTCTATGGGTCTCTGTGTGAGTCTACGGGTCTCTGTGCGAGTCTATGGGTCCTCTGTGTGAGGCTGACGGAAGAGGACGGTGGAGTCTGCCGGCGGAGCGAGCGTACAGAGTCGGCGGGAAGGTTCGGGAAGGGGAGGGGTGGGCGTGGCATCGGTCCGTATATAAGTAGAGATGCGTGGGAGACTCGGGGCTGTCGCGATGGGGCCCTCCGCCTGATGTCGATTGAACGTGCCTTCAATAACGAAACCATCTCAAGACAAGTGTTGTCAAGTCGTCTTTACACTGGAATCGGACAGGGAAGAGAGAGAGAGAACATTCCAGACGGCCGCAGAAGCAGGCCACGGCGCAGACCAGAGTCTCCGCCAGCGACTCCCCCCTCCTCCCCATCAAGGGGTTAAGGGGCGGGCCGGCTCTCGCGGGTCCACACGTGTCCAGCCGTGTCCGTGACACCGCTCCGCTCTTGTACCCGCCAGTCGATGTGCGGATCTCCCGCTCGCTCCCTCGCCCCCCCCCCTAGCCCCCACCCCTAGCCCCCACCCCCAGCCCCCCACCCCCAGGCCTACACTCCTACCCCCCCTCCCACCCCCAGGCCCACTCCCCCACCCCCAGCCCCTTAACATCGATTTTCCCTCCCCTCTCTGGCCCATTTTCCTCATTGACCTTTGCAATCTAGATACCTGGGGCTATAGAAACAGCTGTGGGTGGGGGGGGTGCTGGTGGCGGGAGTTGTTGTGGTGGTGGTGGTAGTGGTGGGAGTAATGATAACGGCGGTGGTGGTGGTGGAAGTTGTGGAGGTGGTGGTAGTGGGAGTGGTGGTGGTGGTGGTGGTGAGAGTGATGATAGCAGTGGTGCTGGTGGTGTGAGTTGTGCTGGTGGTGGTGGTGGTGAGAGTGATGATAGCAGTGGTGCTGGTGGTGTGAGTTGTGCTGGTGGTGCTGGTGGTGGTGGTGGAAGTGAAGATAGCGCTGGTAGTGGTGGTGGCGGTGGTGGTGGGAATCATAGCGGTGGTGGTGGTGATGGTGGAAACTGTGGTTGCGCGAGTGACGGTAGCGGTTGTGGTTGGCGGTCGTGACGATCATAGCTCGCCACTGCGCTACGAACCCGGCAGAGAACCGGAGTTCGATTCCCGCTCATGGCCACCAACACACTGGCGACGATTTTATCTCAACTGGTGCTGGGCCTCCCCTAGGGCGACTCAGCCTCAACTGAGTACCTGGTGCGGTGTGTGTGCACGTCGCCACCGTGGGAGACAAAGGCGGCCGGGCGTGGTTGCTGGCCGCCACCCAGCACCCCTTCGTGCGCCTTCACAGGTGCTGCTCGCTAACAGCACTTGCCCCTACAGTCTGTTGCAGGCTACACGGGGGAGCTTTGTCTGTGTCTACCTTCACAGGTGCTGCTGCTACTCGCTACTAACAGCACTTGCCCCTACAGTCTGTTGCAGGCTACACGGGGGAGCTTTGTCTGTGTCTACCTTCACAGGTGCTGCTGCTACTCACTACTAACAGCACTTGCCCCTACAGCCTGTTAGAGGCTACACGGGGAATCTTTGTCTGTATCTACCTTCTTAGGAGCTGCTGCTACTCGCTACTAACATCACTTGCCCCTACAGTCTGTTAGAGGCTACGCGGGGAATCTTTGTCTGTATCTACCTTCTTAGGAGCTGCTGCTACTCGCTACTAACAGCACTTGCCCCTACAGTCTGTTAGAGGCTACACGGGGGACCTTTGTCTGTTTCTACCTTCACAGGTGCTGCTACTACTCGCTACTCACAGCACTTGCCCCTACAGTCTGTTAGAGGCTACACGGGAGAGCTTTGTCTGTGTCTACCTTCTTAGGAGCTGCTGCTACTCGCTATTAACATCACTTGTTACAGTCTGTTAGAGGCTACACGGGGGAGCTTTGACTGTATCTACCTTCTTAGGAGCTGCTGCTACTCGCTACTCACAGCACTTGCCCCAACATTCTGTTAGAGGCGACACGGGGAATCTTTGTCGGTATCTACCTTCACAGGTGCTGCTGCTACTCGCTACTCACAGCACTTGCCCCTACAGCCTGTTAGAGGCTACACGGGGGAGCTTTGTCTGTGTCTACCTTCACAGGTGCTGCTGCTACTCGCTACTCACAGCACTTGCCCCTACAGCCTGTTAGAGGCTACACGGGGAATCTTTGTCTGTATCTACCTTCTTAGGAGCTGCTGCTACTCGCTACTAACATCACTTGCCCCTACAGTCTGTTAGAGGCTACACGGGGGAGCTTTGACTGTATCTACCTTCTTAGGAGCTGCTGCTACTCGCTACTCACAGCACTTGCCCCTACAGTCTGTTAGAGGCGACACGGGGGACCTTTGTCTGTGTCTACCTTCACAGGTGCTGCTGCTACTCGCTACTAACAGCACTTGCCCCTACAGCCTGTTAGAGGCTACACGGGGGAACTTTGGGTCTACCTTCACAGGTGCTGCTGCTACTCGCTACTAACAGCACTTGCCCCTACAGTCTGTTAGAGGCTACACGGGGGACCTTTGTCTGTTTCTACCTTCACAGGTGCTGCTACTACTCGCTACTCACAGCACTTGCCCCTACAGTCTGTTAGAGGCTACACGGGAGAGCTTTGTCTGTGTCTACCTTCTTAGGAGCTGCTGCTACTCGCTACTCACAGCACTTGCCCCTACAGCCTGTTAGAGGCTACACGGGAGAGCTTTGTCTGTGTCTACCTTCACAGGTGCTGCTGCTACTCGCTATTAACATCACTTGTTACAGTCTGTTAGAGGCTACACGGGGGAGCTTTGACTGTATCTACCTTCACAGGTGCTGCTGCTACTCGCTACTAACAGCACTTGCCCCTACAGTCTGTTAGAGGCTACACGGGGGGAGCTTTGTCTGTATCTACCTTCACAGGTGCTGCTTGCTACTAAAAGCACTTGCCCCTACAGCCTGTTAGAGGCGACACGGGGAATCTTTGTCTGTGTCTACCTTCACAGGTGCTGCTGCTACTCGCTACTAACATCGCTTGCCCCAACATTCCGTTAGAGGCGGCACGGGAGGGGGATCTTTGCCCCCCCTCTCCCCCCCCCCCGTCCGCCCCGCGCCCCCCCCCCCGTCTCCACCCACCGCGACCCTCACCTTGCGCAGGAGGCCCCCGATGCGCTCCGCCGAGCCGTAGAACTCCGAGTGGACCCACACGAAGCGCACCGTGGCGAGGATGCGCGCCAGCGGGCCAGCAGCGTCGCGGGCCCCGCCCGCCCGCAGCGCCTCGCACGGCTCCCGCAGAGCGAGCAGGAAGCGCACGTTGCCCTCCGCCTGCCCGGAGCCGTCCTGGTGGAGACGCCCGGCGGTTAGAACGCCGCGTGCGGATGGGTGTGTCGCGACGTTGAACCCGGCAAGACGCACGGCCGGGTTCAACGGCACCGTCGCCAGTTTGGTTGCTCGTGCGCCACCAGAACCCACCACAGCATTTACAATCAGAGTGTGCGGTGTGGTGTACAGTGGAGTGTGTAGTGTATAGTGTAGTGTATAGCGTAGTGTGTATAGCAGTGTATATTGTGGTGTATAGTGTAGTGCATAGTGTAGTGTATAGCAGTGTATAGTGTAGTGTATAGTAGTGTATAGTGTAGTGTATAGTAGTGTATAGTGTAGTGTATAGTAGTGTAGTGTATAGTAGTGTATAGTGTAGTGTATAGTAGTGTATAATGTAGTGTATAGTAGTGTATAGTGTAGTGTATAGTGTGTTGTTTCGTGTAGGGTATAGCAGTATATAGTGTAGTGTATAGTGTAGTGTATAGTGGAGTGTGTAGTGTATAGTTGTGTACAGCGTAGTGTGCATAATAGTGTATATTGTGGTGTATAGTGTAGTGTATAGTGTAGTGTATAGCAGTGTATAGTGTAGTGTATAGTGTGTAGTGTAGTGTATAGTGTGTTGTTCCGTGTAGGGTATAGCAGTATATGGTGTAGTGTATAGTGTAGTGTACAGTGTAGTCTATAGTGGAGTGTGTAGTGTATAGTTGTGTATAGCGTAGTGTATATAGCAGTGTATATTGTGGTGTATAGTGTAGTGTATAGTGTAGTGTATAGCAGTGTATAGTGTAGTGTATAGTGTGTAGTGTAGTGTATAGTGTGTTGTTCCGTGTAGGGTATAGCAGTATATAGTGTAGTGTATAGTGTAGTGTACAGTGTAGTGTATAGTGGAGTGTGTAGTGTATAGTTGTGTATAGCGTAGTGTATATAGTAGTGTATATTGTGGTGTATAGTGTAGTGTATAGTGTGGTGTATAGTAGTGTATAGTGTAGTGTATAGCAGTGTATAATATAGTGTATAGTAGTGTATAGTGTAGTGTTTCGTGTAGGGTATAGCAGTATATAGTGTAGTGTGTAGTGTACGGTGTAGTGTATAGTGGAGTGTGTAGTGTATAGTTGTGTATAGCGTAGTGTGCATAGTAGTGTATATTGTGGTGTATAGTGTAGTGCATAGTGTAGTGTATAGCAGTGTATAGTGTAGTGTATAGTGTGTAGTGTAGTGTATAGTGTGTTGTTTCGTGTAGGGTATAGCAGTATATAGTGTAGTGTATAGTGTAGTGTACAGTGTAGTGTATAGTGGAGTGTGTAGTGTACAGTTGTGTATAGCGTAGTGTGTATAGTAGTGTATATTGTGGTGTATAGTGTAGTGTATAGTGTAGTGTATAGCAGTGTATAGTGTAGTGTATAGTAGTGTATAGTGTAGTGTTTCGTGTAGTGTATAGTGTAGTGTATAGTGTAGTGTATAGTGTAGTGTATAGCAGTGTATAGTTAGTGTAAAGTAGTGTATAGTGTAGTGTATAGTAGTGTATAGTGTAGTGTATAGTGTAGTGTATAGTGGTGTATAGTGTAATGTATAGTGGTAGTGTATAGTAGTGTATATTGTGGTGTATAGTGTAGTGTATAGTGTAGTGTATAGCAGTGTATATTGTGGTGTATAGTAGTGTATAGTGTAGTGTATAGTAGTGTATAGTGTAATGTATAGTGTAGTGTATAGTAGTGTATATTGTGGTGTATAGTGTAGTGTATAGTGTAGTGTATAGCAGTGTATAATGTAGTGTATAGTAGTGTATAGTGTAGTGTATAGTAGTGTATAGTGTAGTGTATAGTGTGTAGTATAGTGTATAGTGTAGTGTGTAATGTAGTGTATAGTAGTGTATAGTGTAATGTATAGTGCAGTGTATAGTGCAGTGTATAGTGTAGTGTGTAATGTAGTGTATAGTAGTGTATAGTGTAGTGTATAGTGCAGTGTTTCGTGTAGGGTATAGCAGTGTATAGTGTGGTGTATAGTGCAGTGTATAGTGTAGTGTATAGTGTAGTGTATAGCAGTGTATAGTGTAGTGTATTGTGTAGTGTATAGTGTATAGCAGTGTATAGTGTAGTGTCTAGTGCAGTATATAGTGTAGTGTATAGTGTATAGCAGTGTATAGTGTAGTGTATTGTGTAGTGTATAGTGTATAGCAGTGTATAGTGTAGTGTCTAGTGCAGTATATAGTGTAGTGTATAGTGTATAGCAGTGTATAGTGTAGTGTATAGTGTAGTGTACGGTGCAGTGTATAGTGTAGTGTATAGTGTCGCATACGAATACAGCTCTAACCAGTTGTGCATTGGAAAGTAAACACGGTACAACATTTACCTGTCCTAGAGTACTGGAATGGTCACCAATCCTTACTAACCTCACTAAAAACCGTGTCGGGTGGTCGTGGTGGTGGGTTTAAATGACACACTGACAATTCACGCGGGGATCTAACCCCCACCCCCCCCCCCCCCCCCCCCCACAAAAAAAACCTCCTCAATTGTGGATAACGTTGCTCGCGCGAAAGCCCTACTTGCCACTCCTATGTGTTAATCGGATTACGTTTGTAAAACGCCAAGAAAATGAAAAGCCACATCCGCGTAGGACGTGAAGACGATTTACGTGACGGGCGGAGAGTCGGGGGGTGTCTGGGGTGTAAGGCTGAAACAAGTGCCCTGATCTTATCTTGCATTTACACGGCGCCTTGCAAGAGGGTCATGGGTGGTACAATGAGGGGGGGGGGGCTGAAGGTGATGCGGTGAATAGGGATGAGGGTACGGTGGAGGGAGGTTTAGCGGGTACGGGGATTACGGTGAGTTACCTTGGGGAACTACGGGGGCATCGAGGGGGATCCACGCGTCCACCACGGGGAGAGAGGGAGAGAGAGACACGCAAACTCCAAATATGCAGCAGGCGTCAGGGTCGGGGTGGAACCCACGACCTCCTGTATACCAGGCGAGGTAGTCAACATCTCCTAGCTACCGTGATGATGATGAGAGAGAGAGAGAGACGCGCAAACTCCAAATCAAATATGCAGCAGGCGTCAGGGTCGGGATCAAATCCACGACCTCCTGCACACCAGGCGAGGGAGTTAACATCTCCTAGCCGTATTCTTTGGGTCTGTCGGTAAAGTCACGTAGATAAGTTCAAAGAAAATAACAAAAAAAATAACAAAAACCTACGATCGCAACACAAGCAAGCGGTCGTCATCAGGAAAAGAGACTTTACCGAAAGACCCAAAGAGTATGAATTCCTGCAGTCACGAAAGCTTTAAGTCAACATCTCCTAGCCACTGCGATGATGATGGGAGAGACACGCAAACTCCAAATATACAGCAAGCGTCGTCAGGGTCGGGGTCAAACCCACGACCTCCTGTACACCAGGCGAGGTAGTTAACATCTCGCCACCTAAAATAAACCTCACCACAGAAACTTAGACTGAACGAAACCACTTAAATTGTTTGATTTAAAGCTTTCGTGACTGCAAGGATTCATATTCTTGGTTCTTTGGATAAAGTCACGTAGAAGGGAAACAATAAAATAATAAAAATATAAAACAATAAATACATTTTACCAGGTAAAGCCCACTGAGCTATCTCGCTCTTTAATCAGAAGCACCACGCCCGGCCGCCTTTGTCTCCCTACTGCACACCACACCAGTTAACACATTTGAGGCTGAGTCGACCTAGGGGGAGGCCCAGGCACCGCTTCAGATAATCCGTCACCGGTGATGGGTGGCCGTGAGCGGGAATCGAACTCGGGTCGCCGGGTTTGTAGCGCAGCGTAGCGCTAAACCCTCTACACCACCGCACGCTCGCGCACACACACGCACGTGTACACACACGCACGTGTGTACACACACGCGCACACAAGACAGGTTCAATAACAAACCGTGTTGGCCATGCGTGCAAAGCAAAACAGCCGCCCGGGCGCACAATAAACATTCGAATCGGTATTCGTCGAGTCCCATTGGAGGAGACGGTGGTTCTATTTTGACTTGCGGGGGGCCTGGAATGTACGGCGCGCTGCTCACACGTTTGCCTCCTCCATCATCCCCGCCACCGCACGACAGCAACCCCGCAGCAGAAACCCTCCACGCACTCCCCCGGCCTTTTACCCTCTCACCTCACTCTACTCCCATCTGACTCTCACCTCACTCTACTCCCATCTGACTCTCCCCTCTCACCTCACTCTAATCCCATCTGACTCTCCCCTCTCACCTCACTCCACTCACATCTGACTCTCCACTCTCATCTCACTCTACTCCCATCTGACTCTCCCCTCTCACCTCACTCTACTCCCATCTGACTCTCACCTCACTCTACTCCAATCTGACTCTCCGCTCTCATCTCACTCTACTCCCATCTGACTCTCATCTCACTCTACTCCCAGCTGACTCTCACCTCACTCTACTCCAATCTGACTCTCAACTATCACCTCACTCTACTCCAATCTGACTCTCAACTCTCACCTCACTCTACTCCAATCTGACTCTCACCTCACTCTACTCCCATCTGACTCTCCCCTCTCACCTCACTCTACTCCCATCTGACTCTCCCCTCTCACCTCACTCTACTCCAATCTGACTCTCCCCTCTCACCTCACTCCACTCACATCTGACTCTCCACTCTCATCTCACTCTACTCCCATCTGACTCTCCCCTCTCACCTCACTCTAATCCCATCTGACTCTCCCCTCTCACCTCACTCCACTCACATCTGACTCTCCACTCTCATCTCACTCTACTCCCATCTGACTCTCCCCTCTCACCTCACTCTACTCCCATCTGACTCTCATCTCACTCTACTCCCATCTGACTCTCACCTCACTCTACTCACATCTGACTCTCACCTCACTCTACTCTAATCTGACTCTCACCTCACTCTACTCCAATCTGACTCTCCCCCTCACCTCACTCTACTCCCAACTGACTCTCCCCTCTCACCTCACTCTACTCCAATCTGACTCTCACCTCACTCCACTACCATCTGCCTCTCCCCTCTCAACTCA